ATAAAGACCTCCATATCCAAGTTAATACTGAACCAATGTTCCTTTAAATTGCCTCTCATGAAAAGGACTTCCTGTGCTACACACGTAATTATTTGGTAAATTTTCACACACTTGGAGGTCTGAAACTATGTCTCTGTTGGAAAGAAATGTTAGGTTCTTCTGTCTCAGAGAAAGTGATGGATTGGTTCCTGTCTCTTATAAAGAGACAACTTTTTAAATTTCAGCACTTTTCTCTCTGGAACAAAACTGGCAAGTTCATAAAGAACCTTCACAATCTCTCATATTGGTACTTGAGTAAGGAGTACTGATATGTCTTCAGAGTTTTAATCTACTTTTTGTTAAGAGGCTGCCCTAGTAGTGGGCCAGGGTTAACATGGTCCAAACCCTAAAGATATTAGAACAGCAGATACTGTAATTAACTGGTGTTACCTGAACTGCCATTTAATAGCGCTGTGTTGGCTTGAGCCTGGGATGTAATGAAGGACAAGTGAGGAATCTACCAGCAGATATTATGATGCCCTCTGAGTGTTATTTGTGTTCATCTCTTAGACAAATTTCTTGTGATCTGCTCTAAGACATCAGACAGATGTCACATTTACCAGTCACCAGGAAAAATCTTTTTCTGAATGCACTTGCTAACTTGATGCTTTTATTTTCAAATAGTGAAAGAAGGGAGAAAACAATCAAAATTCTTCAAAAAGTAAATAACATCGTAACAAGTTATAATATTGTAATACTCATTCAGTGTATTACAGCTTTCTGACTCGTTGAACCTTGAGGTATTTACGTGCACTAACAGTAGTGTACGTCCCAGAAAGAAAAATGCTGAAGAACATTACCATATTACTGAAATCACCAGTGACAACACTGTTTCCTGAAAAAGGCCACTGTTTGTGAGAAAGTAACATCAAGAAAACGTATCTGTGATGATGCTTGAGTAGTGATAGCTATGGCAACTATACTTTTTCACTACTGGTTGAGTAATATTCTGCATTTATATTGTGAACAAAGCCGCAGGACAGGTTTACAAGTTTGGATGTATCTTCATTGCAACAATGGAAAAATTGAACACAGGATTCTTTCTTTTTTTTTGAAAGCTATGACAAGCTTGTGAAAAAGGGTGAGAACAGCAGTAAAATCTGCTTCCCTGTCTGGCCATTTTACATACCATAATTTCAACATTTGTCCTTGGAGGTGTTAAAAGGAATTCCCCCCTAGCAGTACTCCAACAGTTAAGGTAAAGAAGAAAAGTAAAGCTCTTCTAATGCAGAGCGATAAGAAGGAGACAAAGATCACAGAATGGCTGTCCTCTGTTTATTTATAAGCAAACACCTATTTTAATTTCTACACATAGCCCTAAGTGGCAATATTTCGGAACCATCATTTATTCCCACAGTAACATCCCCTGATATTACAAGCAGTTATGTTGTTGCCATGTGGTACATTATGTGGTTAATTTATGGAAGGAGATAAACATTTAATGAAAGCATCTTTGAATATATGAACGAAATAAAATTGCCATTCTATCCCTCATAATGTAAGTTAGCATATATCTGTTGACACCTATAGAAATAAAATGCTCTTGGTAAAGAAACATAGAATCATTATAGGGCCAAAAGGAGAAATTCTTAATTAAACATTATTTTTTAAAAAGGCATCATATAAAAATATACTTTGTATAATTGGATTTGATATAAAAATTATAAATTACTGGGGATTCAAAACAGAATAGACAAGGTGGTCATTTTGATAATTTCTCAACTACAACATGTCATCTCTGTCATGAAGTAACTGCACCTGATTTTCATCAGATCCCCCTTGTAAGGGAAAGAAGTTGAGAAGAGAGCCAAAAAATCCTAAACTGTCTCATTGTAAACCACAAAAAGAACATTCGGTAATTGTTTGACATTGTGACAATTTTGTGGCAAATAGTCACTGGATATGCACTTTTATAAGCCTGAATTAATATTGTGTTGTTAAAAAGTCACCTGCAAATATAATGCATCAACACAGGAAAAAGAGTATTGCTTGAGTAATAAAGTCTGAAAAAAAAGGTTTACAACGTCAATCTAAAAAACCCATGAGGTTTTTATCAAATTTAAAAGGCAGGCCTGAATCCTTGACTGACTTATTAATAATCTTAAAAATGTTGTCTAACACTTTGTTGAAGGACTTAGTTCCATAGGGCTCCTCAAATTTTATATATCAGTATGTTTTAATCAACAATTTAGACCACTATTAAATGTATGATGGTTACGTCTCTAGTTAGAATGGTAGAAGAAAATAGAGCACATTGCAGAGTTACCTGAATTAGTCAGCTAAAAAGCCAAATGACAAGAAGTGAATTTTAATATCAAATTAAATCAAATACGGAAATAAACATTTCCTGATTTTACCCACAGTATAAACGCCTCTGTTTAGAAAGCAGTGATTCACCAAATTTTAAAAGTCATAACGTATTATCACCTCAACCTATCACTGTGTCAAAGAGCACTAACATGATGCAATAAAAATGTTCAAAAAGAGGAATGCCATAGGAGCAGAAAGATGACCTTCCCTGTGCTAAATAATCACTGTGCTGAGCCAGTGCTGGTATAGCATATCCTGATATGATTAACCCACTTCAAAAGGTGTACGAAAACCCTGAAGAATTCAAAGGAAGACCATAAAAATGACCAAGCCTAAAAACGAACCCATACAAAATGAAACCTAAAGTGTTCTACTTAGCAAAGGCAGTGTTGAGAGATAAGTAATCACTGCATATAAGTAAATTAAATGAAGATTTTCAACTTTGCTAACGAAAATGCTACAAGATCCAAAAGCTGAGTGATGAAGTCAGAAAAATTCAGCCCTACAGGAAGAAGTAATATCCTTGAAGCTAAGTGTTCTGAGAGTTTACAGGAGCAGTGATATAACTCATCTGCTCTGCAGTTTCTGAAACAAAGCAATTTTTATGGGTAAGAGATAGAGAGAGAGGAGGAGAATCAGATCAGGTACAGTAGCAGCCCCCGCTAACTTTTCCCTTAACCCAGAAATGACCAGATATGCTCTGAGTTTTATTTTGCTGCCCTTCTCTGCAGCTCTGAGCAATGGATGAACACGGAGATAATCCTCAGAGGGTGTTCTGTGATGCTATAGAGAATCCATTTTCTTGCACAACCTGCTGGCACGTGCTGCTCAGATGGACATATTTCAGGTCAGAAGGGATTCTGCACATCAGCAAGAATCTTGGCAGGTTTTTTTTCATGCCTTCACGTAGATCATCTGCTGGCTGATTTGGGGATACCTAACCTCACCAGTTTGTTACAAGTACAGAAGCTGTGAAGGCTGGTGACATCTCTGTCTCTTGTGTTCGGTTTATGGTGCATAACTGTTAATCTCTATAGGATTTAAACACATCAGTGTAACACAAATTTGCAAAGTTAATAGCCCATGATGTTGACAAGACATGCAGGAATACTGTGAAAAAGTATAGGGAGTTGGACTTAGAAGAAACTAGGCTGGAAGGCTCTGGGAGTGCTGCAGGGGTGTCACAATAAACCCAGCACACCCCGCAGCCAAAGCTGTATAAGGGATGGCTCTCCCTGTCCTGTGAGGGTAAAAAGCTGACCCACAATGCTCCTGGGAGATTACTGGCCCTAAACGTTTTTGTTTCCAATATATTTGAGAAAAAGAATTTTAACACCTGGATATGATGACAAATCTTTTGCTTTCAGTTCATTAATCCAGTGTCGAAAGGCAGACTTGCTTCAAGTATCTTTCTCTGGGTTTATTCTGATCTTTAGAGCAGCTGTAGCTGGTGAAATGCTTATGCTCGTACTAGAACTGATACCCTTGCTGAACACTCCTCGTCTTCTTTCCTAAAGGAAAGAAACTTCAGCTTTTCTTCTTGACACAGCAATCTTTTCCCCATCATTTCAGTAGCTAATAATTTATCTCTTTGCTTGCATCTAATCTTATCACTGCTCATGTACCCTTACAGAAGGGTATACATCAGACTAAAGCTCTTGGGGTTAGAGGTTGACTTTGCTTTTCAAGGCTGTGATTCACAACTTTCAAATAACACAACATTTTTAGCTTTTCCTAGGCTTATAATAGTGTCTAGTAAAACACCCACATAAAAGAAAATACAAATATAATACGGCTTTCACATCTGAACATTCTGACCTGGCAAACTTACATATCATATGCTTAGTTCTACCCACAAAAATATTGAACCTTAATTTATTTTGCTTAGATGTTGCAGGCTAAAAATAAATCCTAAAATTATTATAGTTGTGCCCTGATTTCTTAACAATGGTACTTTTTCACATAACTAAATATACTAACTTTTGGAGTTTAGTTCAACACAGTTTAAAAATGCCACTTTCATAAAAGCCTATTTAAACATATTTACACTTGAACTGAGTGAAACATTTTGTTTACTTTCCCTGACTTGTCTTGGAAATATGTAAGTACAATTTTAGACTGGCGTATTTGCTGATTCTGTTCCCAGTGTATTGATGTTTATCTTACAATATTTCTCCTGGTCTGAGCAAAATATTCCAAACTAGCCAGCCTACAGCAACACACCAAAGGTGACTGTAGATTGTGAAGCTGTTACATTTAATGAAAGTATATGGATTTTATACAACTATCACTGCACACACCAACTATCATTGTGGGAATGCTGAATTGCAAATGGACTTCAAATCTATAAGCTCAGATGCTGTGAGCTCCAACAAGTCTCTTACAATACAAGAAATCAAAGGGCATCTGTACTAAAACGCCTCTACCTCTTTTAGCATCATCAGAGGCTATAACACTCCCAAGATTAAAAGCAGAATAAAGATACAGCGGCTGGCTGCATCTGATGAAACAACTCAGTACATCAATTCAATCTTCATGATGGCTCATAAAATAATATGCACTTTACTACATAAATATTATTTTAGTTCTAATACAAACATAAAAAGAGCCTTTGCAAAGATTTACACGTTAATACAGGGTACTGCACTTACCAAGATGTGTGTTCATCATTTTTGCACAATATTTGCACATGGCTTCCAAATCGTTCAGCTGTCCTTGCAGGAATGAAATCTGGGCCTCCAACTCTTCCTCCTACAATTAAGAGATTATTAGCATATAACACTCCCAACTTTCTATAATGCAGAGTAAAAGCAGTAAGTTAACCCCTGACATACTTAGACATGTTTTAACTTTTTCTATTCCTTTGTTCTTGGAAATTTTGTCATTTCATGGAAATAGGGTTTTTAATATTTCAGTGTTTATTAATACTACTTTTTTTCCTTCTAAAGAGTTAAATAGAATAGTCTACCTTGACCTCAGAAAGGTTAATGATTCAGAATTCTTTTACAGACCAGCAACCTGTTTTTGCTTGTGCAAACACAGTACCACAGTAATGGCTGAAAAAACTCACCAAATGAGAAAAATTCTAGTTTTTGCCAGAGTAATTTCCACAGCAACTCCTTTGAACCCTTTTTTTACTTCAAGGCATATATTTCATGAAACCTAGTATCACATCTCAAGGATGCATTACTGACATATATTTTGGCACACTTATTTTCATAACACGTCATCTCTATCTGTATAAAACCTATGCACAGCCAGCCGCACTTTTAAACATCATCTTACATAATATTTAGGTGAAAATTATTTTTAACTCACATACTATAAGGCAGTTACTCTAAATTATTAAGTTACGTTTAAAAAATATGCATCAAAGATTTTAAGGCCCAGGAGAAGCATTAATATCTAGCCACATGCCCTGTCTAAGCAATGGGAACTACCTCAGCTAAGAATTCATCTTTGAACGCCTTTGTTTGCTGGTTTAAAAATCCATCCAGTCTTGACTTTGAATTCCATACTGCAGAAAGTTCACACCTTAGGAAAAATTCCTTCAAAGCTTAGTCACAAACAGTATTAATCAGGTTTTTGTTTAAGTATGCAATTGAATTCAAGATACTCAGATAAAGCCAAAGTAACTTTTTAGCCTCTTGTTTTTCTTAGGAGCTGTGCAGTTCTATCATACCCTTTTTTGATGGAGATCGCTAAGCATTAGAATGTGATTTACTTTTCAAATGAAAAAACCCCAAAACTTATCAGCAAGAACTAAGAGAATGAATCATTCTTGATTTAAAGGTACAAGTGATCTTAACCTCCATCAGAAAACAAGTCAGAGCCAGGCAAACTTCCCACTAACATATCCTATATCGAAAGAGATTAATGAATAAAAAGCATTGTAACCACAGCATTTTGTAATATCTGTGGCAATATCACTTTTTCCCTACAGACTTTTTCCTCACACCTACAGTCTACAGATATTAAACATTTTTTCTTCACAAATTATTTATATTATATGCTCTCACCTTTTTCTTTTCAACCTCATACTTTCACCACTTACACTTCAAAGGGATTGATTTTATTTGTCAATTTACAGTTGCTGAAAGAGTGACCTCATTCAAAGCCTGCAGTTCTGTCACAGCCTATACAAGCATATTTGGATTGACATTTCTATTCAAGCAATGTTCCTCCAGAAGACCTTTTTCTAGTATATACAGCTAGTGACTGCAAGAAATAATCTACCATAAACTTTCAAATGCCATTGGCACTGCAAGTGCAGCTGTAAGATAGGGAAACGTGACAATATTTGAGCATTCTACCATAAAATAACATAATCAAATTCTAAAATCATTAGTAAGTACTTGAACCCCAGTTTATCTCCTACAAGTGAATAAGAAAATTTAACTGCTAGTAATAAATATTTCCATGTTTCACAGACTACGTTTTTTCTTATTCATGAATGAGCCTGCAGTAAATTGATCTTAAAATTTTTGGGCAGCTCAATCCACCCAAGCAGATTCTGAAACTGACCTTCTTGATTGCACAACAGTACCTCTTCTTTTGGCAAGTGAGACTGGTGCTGAGTAAAAGACTACATCCACCATTCTTCCCACTCGCTAGGATCCAACCTGGGGAGCAGAAGTGTTCAGCAGACCTAACATTCAGAGAGGAGAGTATTGTGGCCGGGGACTCATAGACAGCACAAGAGGTCTCCTGCCAAGTGGGAAATCTTGCACAAGGCTGAGTGACTGTACCTAGGGTTCCTGACTTATCTGGAATCCTTGGGAAGGGCACCAAGAAGTGCTGGCAGTGGGACATTCAAATAAGCAAGACAGTGAATTTGGCACTTGACGCATCAGAGACTGGGCTTTTTGCACAAGACAACACCCAAACGGTGATGACTTACTACAAGGCATAACCCTTGCCTCTGCTGTCATCAGTAGTGCTGTGACAACCTCTGCGCAGAGGACCCTGAGGGTGACCTCCCTGAAGTGAGATTTGTTCTATTGCAGTTGCTGCAGCAACAGGTGAGGAGTTGCAAGAGGCCGGTGTTTTTTATTGCACCTGTTGTTAACAGGTGATTAACAAGATCTTTCAAGGTGTAAAACCTCATGCAACAGACAGAGATGGTGCAACTGAGGCAAGACATAGTGGGAAGAAGACATACACTTCTGAGAAGGAGGAAACTGGAAGCTTGTGATTTCTGACAGCAGAAAGGCTGACCAGTGGTGCAGAGAGGAAGAACAAGCTCCCTCAGATGAAGAATTGAGGTTGGACATTGTATCAGAGCACTACCAAGAGAAAGTGATGAGTGACAGTCAGTGGCTGGTGACTCTTTTCCAGCCTGACTCATCAACTAGGGAGGTTTCTTGCTTGCATGGAGGCACAGTTTGTGGTGTTGTGAAAGACTGTTTGGGGTCACCTAATGGTGAAGGGGATAGGAAACATGGTGTTGTTTCTCTTTAATCCTGTGACAAAAGGGAGAAGCCTGGATAGCAGCAGATGTATCAGGGAGACTACATATCTGGTGGCATTAGATGGGTTTCAACTATTTTGATTGTGGCACCTAGTTTGATGAGGACAGACATCTTAAAGAACAGGTCTATCTGGCAAAGAGAGGGAAAAATCTATTTGTGAACAGATTTGCTAATCTAGCAGGAAGGACTTTGTCCCTGAACAGGGACCTAATCCAGAAATATATGAGGAAGCAGCACATATAGACAAGGTATGCAGAAGGTCTACTTGGCTGAGTAAGGAGATTTTTAATGAACTAAAATGGGAAAAGCACATATGGAGATGGAAATGGTGGAAATGGAGAGCACATGTGTGGTAACAATGACAGGAAACAAAGGACAGGCACACAATCATTGTTTGGGCACATGAACAAAACTAGGAAGGACAAAACCCAGCTGGAGCTAAAATTAATGGGGGACATTAAAGGGTAATGAGAAGGAATTTTACAAGTGTGCAGAGCAGCAAAAGGAGATTCAAAGAAAATGCAGGTCTGTTGCTTACTAGGGGAGACAAGACAGCAACATGATACAGAAAAGGCTGCAGCACTCAGTACAATTTTTGCCTCTCACTTTTTAGGCCAACTCTGCTCCCAGACCTCTGCATCTACAGTTTGGGAGGGAGAGGAATAGCTGAGGGGGAGAGGAGGGGAGGGGCATAAGTTGGTGAATACTTGAAGAAACAGTATGCAATCAAGGGCAATGGGACCACATGGGATACTCCTATGGGTGCTGAAAAACCTGACCATGTGATTGCAACACCACTGGCTATCATCTATGAAAAACCACTGATATTACAGAACATCCTTGATGACTGCAGAAAGGTTAATTTTACCTACATATTAAAGAAGAGTGAGGAGGAGTATCTAAGGAACTATATAATGGTTGGCCTCATCTTAGTCCTTGGAAAAATCATGGAGCATGTCCTCTTGGAACCAATTTTCAATATGTAAAGGACAAGACAATAATCAACAAAAGTCAACAAGGATTTACCAAGAGCAAATCATGCTTGACCAATCTGGTTGCCTGCTATGATGAAATGACTGGGCATGCAGGTGAAGGGAGAGAAGTGAATGCCATGTATTTTTACTTTAGTTAGGCTTCTGACACTTGTTTCCAAAAGCATCATCATTTATAATATGATGAAGTATGGGCTGAATGAAAGGATTGTATATGGGCTGAAAATTGTTCAGAACCCCAAGCTTAAAGAACAGAGTCAATATCTTGATGTCCAGTTGGTGTTTGGAAATGAGCAGAGTAACAATGGACTGCTCTTCACCAACAGCCCATATAAGGAGACAGAACGTACACTCAGTAGATTTTCAGATGATGCAAAACTGGGAGGTTTGGTTGCTGTGCTGACTGGTAGAACCTCAATTCACAAACACCAGGAGACGCTTGAAGCCTAGGCAAGAGAAACCTTTTTGAGGTTCCCGTTTCAGAAATTTCAGTAAGTGCAAAATTCTGCACCTGAGGAGAAAAAAAACCCAACACACCAGTGCAGACGGGGAAGGAACTTACTATCTCTCAGTTCTGCTGAAAAGGATATGGAGGTTACAGTGGCTGTTGAGCTGTTTACAAACTAATAAAGTTCTCTTATCATGAATAATGTAAACAGTTGCACCCAGCTACATTACAAGGAATGTGGTCAGCAGATCCAGCAAAGTCACCCCTCTGCTTCATGCTCTTGAGCCCTCACCTTTAATACTGCTTTTGGCCTGCAGTTCAAGAAGGACACTGAAAAACAGAAGAGATTTCAGTGGAGGGCTACTATGAAGGCTACAGGTATAGAGGACATGCTGAGGGAGCTGGGCTTTTTTATTTTGGTGAAAAAGAGCCCAAAGAGGATCTCCTGAGAGCCTGCAACTACATGGAGTGACAAAGATGAGGTAATCAAGCTCTTCCCAGATGATACAGAAGGAACTGTGGCCCAAAACTGCCCCTTGGAAGGTTCAAATTGGTCACTAGAAAAATTTTCTTCATTAGAAGAGCAGTGTGGCACTGGAAGAGGTTATTTATAGAAGTGGTAGTTTCTATTTAAAGTCACTGAACTGTTCTGATGCTAGTGATTGTCCTGCTCCAAGTAGCAGCTTGAGCAGAAGACTCTTCTAATCAACATTTCTAAGACTAGTCTTTTCATAGTACTTTTCTAAAATAGTTCTGTAAAGGTAAGCAGCAAAATCAGAAAGGCCCTCAGAAAGAAGGACTTTTTTCAGTATTCTAAAGTCAAATTCTTAGCAGCATTAGATGAAAAAACTCATTTAGAGTCGTCACTGTGCAGACAATCTCAATCCTTGTCTAGACAATATATATTGTACTCTCCTCTAAATGCAAACTTCTGTGTTTCACTCTGCTAAGACAATGAGTAGTCTGGATATCACTTTTTTGTGTACAAATAGCAGTGGTGATTTGATCTCTCTCATGCATGAGCAGACATCTAAAAATTCATCAAACAGCCCAAACATAAGTCAAGAGAAAACCAGCATGGTCTGTGTTCTGTTGAGAAACCGACCTTTCAGCTGATCTGACACAAACAGCACCAGAAACATGCAAACTATGATTCCAACTCATTCAGGCACAGCTCTCAGAAATTAACCAGCTGACCACAAAATACACTAACTAACCAAAATAAAAAATCAATGTCAGCTTACTGAACAACATATTCTATGAAGCATATAAGCGCAATATTTTCTAATATTTGGAGTTGCATTATGAAGAAGAAGAACAAATCAAGCAGCAAATCAAACAAATTACTGCATCACACATGGGCGAGCAAGATGTGCAAACTGATATATACAATCTCACAGAAAACCAATATTTTCTGAAAATTCAGTCCCAGGGTTTTCAAAATACTTTCCCACACCTTCAACCTTGCAGATGATGTAGATAACCTTGCTGATAACCAATAACATTTTGAATTGAACATGAGAATGAAAAGGAAGCAGTTTATTTTTGATGCCACACTGATTTACATTTCACAAAAAACATAAAGCAGGCTAGAATTGATGTCTTCAGTCAAAGCAAGACTCT